TCAACCACTTAATCCTTGTTGCGTTCATTGGGACGCTGATGCTAATCTAATCAGTTTTTGTGTTGAAGGAAGACTACATCAGAGGGCGTCTTCTATGATGTAAATCAGGCATGGGCAAAATAAGGCCCGGGGGCCGGATGCGGCCCGTTTAGCTTTCTAATCCGGCCCGCCAAACTTTTCCAAATGATATAATTTATCTATATCTTTATTTATCATCATACTTTACCCACGTTTCCCCAATAGAGGGCGTAGAAAATGTCAAATTTTAGGACCAATTTTGGCCTGCAGGTCAAAACGTTTGCCCTCACCTGATGTAAATGTGTGATTTTTTTGCTTTTTACGCTTTTTGTTTTGACAGGACAAAAGTTCATTATCTTCTCATAATGCAACAATTTTGCACATTTTTGTTTCCCTTCAGGTCCAAGTGAGGCGGAGAGCTTCCAGCTGGAAATGAGTGGGCTTTTGTCAGAGCTCAACTGTCCTTACGCTGTCCTCAACAGTGGAAGCATCAGCCAAAGACTCCAAAACAGGAAAGACTGCCTTCTGCTCATTAGTATGTTTATTTTTTAAGCTCTTTAATAAAGTTTTTTTTTTTTTTTTTTTAAAAAAATTTACATGTAATACATGGTTTTACTATAGTAAAGTGCAGGGCAGGATAATACGAAAGCATTGCAGTTCATGGCTCAAATATGCATACAGTAGCATTTACCTTGTAAAGTATAGTGAACTTAACCTTTAATAAAAGAAGAAAAAAAAAACAGACCCTGAAGACTGATTTATACATTACAATAATTGCGCAGCATCTTGGGAATTTGATTGAATTCATTTTGTGTTTCAGCTTTTTTAGTGTCAGAGTTGGAGGCATCGAGAATGATTGTCGTCAACATTCCTCAGAAGAAGGGTCAGGACTCTGGTAGCCCCGTGTTTCAAGATTTAAAGGGAATCTGCATGACACTAGGAATGTCGAAGCCTCCCGCCAACATCGCAATGTTCCAGTTTTTCAGTGGAATAGAAAAAAAGGTCCGAATGATAACATTTCAATCCTCTGGTACTTTGAAGAGCCAACAGGTTTTTAGGCCAAGTCCACACAGGAAGCATGGCTATTTTGGGGGGGGAGATGTTTATTTAGGGTGAATATAAATCTACTTTTTTTCAGTCGGAGTCCAGAGTCTTTTCGAATACATATTTGTATCTTTTTTTTTACTCTGACCTACATGACGAATTTCAAAATAAGATGTTGCTGTAAAATTTGAAACGCTTGATAAAAATCCCCCTTGTGTTCGCCCTGTGTATTTGGACAGTTTTGATTTTTTTTTTTTTTTTTGTCACACAGAAAGAAAAAACTTGAAATCCAGCTCCAGGCTAGAACTAAATACAGGCGCTCTGGAAG